TGACGATGAAATTCAGACCTCGCAGTCAGCCCGGTGTGCGTTCGTGCAGTGGCCAACTGGCGGACTGAGAGTTGGACTACGACTCCTTAGCGTGACCTCTGGCATTCTCGCGCATGTGAAACTCATGCCGCCCACCCACTTGTGTGAAACCTTGTTGCTTGTGTTTAGGGGGTCCGGTCGTGTATGAGGCGCGCACGGACGGGTTATTCAGCTGTGTCAGTCATTGCGCCCATTCGCTGCACTTGGCAGTTGGTCGACTCGGATATTGGCTGGGGCCTGCGAATGAGAATTGTGTGGTCGACGTCTCAGAGTCCATTTCGCATTTCAAATAATCTGACGCGTTCGGACCGTGGCTTGGACGGCTGCCAACTGACGAGATAACTTGGACCTCGCAATCAGCCCAGTCTGTATTTGTGTGCACTTATTTACGCGCAGGTCACCGTTCCTGTTTTCACCCTGCTGTGGAGTGCAAGGCGGACATAGTGGGAATCGACGGTCGAAGTGTTACCTCGTAAATGAATATACTTGTCCCAGTATTCTAATCCTCCGCAGTGATATGAGCACACATTTGGCATACCAGACAGCACCTCTGGTTTGATCACAGGAAGTTCCCTTTCGCGTCCCACCAGCACCCAATGCCAGGGAGTGGACTGCAACATCTCAGGTTGACATCATCGCGAAGACATACAGGCACAATGCCCGATGAGACAAACTTTGGCCCGATCATTCACAGCGACTGCAATATCTAGTCGACCAGGGTTATAAGCTGCACCGCTGTACTAAGTGGTAGGATTTGTTCGTGGCAGGTACCCTAATACAGCGCGACTGATGGTTGGATAAGAACACACCGAAGAAGCCGGCAGCGTTCATAATGTGTTGCGTCAAAGTTCGCACAATTCTAGGATACGATGTGCAATTCTTTCTTCCGGGTGAGCCAGCCTACACAACTACCGTCCAGTATACTGAGGGAGGTTCGAATACATCGGTCTCAGTGGGCGCCGTAAAACGGGTTGGGGTTCATGATACACGATGGGGATTTTAACGTTTATTGTAAGTCGGGTTCGCCAGTTTCCCACTTGTAATTTGGACGGAGGTCCGGACTGAAAGATAGCACAGTCACGAGGGGGTTATATGGTAGAGGTCCATGCCACAGTGCGTCATTGGACTGCGGCATTTTATAAGGCAGTCGATAGCTCGACCTTAATCTTTCGTTCACGACTGCCTACTCGCCAGACCCGAAAGTGGACGTCCGTGCAGTTGAGTCACGCTTTGACAACACCCGACGTCACCATCACTTCCCCTATATCACTATATTATTATTAGTAGTAGTAGTAGTGGTAGTAGTGGCAGTGGTAGTGGTAGTAGTAGTAGTAGTAGTAGTAGTAGTAGTAGTAGTAGTAGTAGTAGTAGTAGTAGTAGTACGGTGATAACAGTAATTTGAGAAAACTGTTCTTAAGGCATGCGCATGTGTGTTTAGCCCAGACTATATGGGGCCGGAGATTCTGGCAAGCCATAGAACAAAATAATCATCAATGGTAGGGGGCGCTTACCGATAGCGTTACGGAACTCACTCGTCCCGTTATGCCTTAGGGTTCTGTCGAGCCCAACCAGCAGTCGCACAGCGGCGCATGATATAGGCGGAATGGCATTACCGACAAAGACAAGGGAGACTGGAATGGCCATTTCTGACTTATTAGCCGTCGTCAGTCAATCATACCCAACCCCGAATGTGGAACACCCGAGGCTCGAACTCGCGACCTGTTAGTTAAAAGTCCACGCTTCTAACCACTGGGCCACGAGCCCGTTGCCATGTCGGTTTCGATCGGGAATATACATACTACCTATATCATACACCGCTGTGCGGCTGCTGGTTGGGCTCGAGAGAGAGCTCGCAAGGCACAACGGAATGAGTGAGTTCCAAAAGAACGATCGATGAGCGCCCCTACTATTGTATATTTCCGACCGAAACCGACAGGCCAACGGGCTCGTGTCCCAGTGGT